TATGTGGGGTAGTTGGTGTTACATGTAGAGCATATTGTTATGATTGAACTATATATGAATCTTGTGACCCTTGTGAACTACCACGTGTTGTGAAGTTTAAGCTAAAGGCTTAGTAGTGTAAAAAGTCTAGGAATATGTGCCTAGTTGGGATAAGTAATGATGTGAAAATGTGGACATTTGATAAGTGATGATGTGTATGAAATTTGCATTGGCTCTTGTTGTGTGGCATGCATCATATGCATAAAAGTGATTTTGGGGGTGTTGGTGTGGAATACAGTGTTAGATAAGGTCCCTCTTGTGATCTTTGAGATTCATAACACTAGGGACAATAAGATTTAGGAGCCCCAATTCCGGCCTTTTTGTGCATGGGGTGTAGCTTGCACAACAATATTGTCCTAATGCACCCTAGTGTATCTTCCCCTAGTTGAGAATGTTGAGTGTTGTGACAACCTTCTGTCGTAACCCAAAAAATTCAGATCTTACGACTAGTGGTTGGACTACATTTTTGAAAAATCTCATCAATTAGGGAATGCTCGGAAACCAGACTAATCCTTAATTAATAGTTTTGAAAAATGATTCATGGATTCGCCACCAATGTTTTGCTAAAAACATTGGAAAAAGATAAGATTTTTGAAAATCCAATAATGGCCTTGATAACTAATATTGGGTTCGGGGGTCGGTTACGCATAGGAAAGTTTTTAAACACTCTTATAATGCCCTAAATCGGTACCCTATGATGAAGTTAACACCATAATAATTAATAGTTTAAATATTAGATCCCGTTTTATTAATGGTTATTTAAATGCTTTAAATTTAACTTACACGGTTTATCCTTAGACGTCTATTAGATCTTCAAATTTGGAGATCTCTAGGCACTTTTTGGCTGCTTTTCACACTACAATATGCCTCACAAAATCTTAAGAAATACAAGAGGGAGGAGAGAGAGAGATTTCGAGCTAATGAGACTTCTTAAACGATTTTTTTTGGCCTAGGGAGCAGTGCCCGAGTCTTTTATTTATAGACGTCAGAACTGACTAGAACGACCCATTTCAGTTTTGGAACGACCCATTCTGGATTAGTTTGTTATGAGTTAAATTTGAATCTAGAATGGTCCGTTTCAGTGTCAGAACAACCCATTCCAGATTTAAACTTGACTCGTAACAACCTGTGCTGGAACGACCTGCTTTGGCTTGTTCTCAACTAGGGTTTCTAGGCCTTTTAGTAGTTTGGAACAGCCCGTTCCAAATTCAGAATGACCCGTTCTAGTTTCGGAACGACACGTTCTGGGCTACTAAATCAACCTTATTGGGATTTTAGGCCTTCTAATGTCATATCATGTCGTTTCTATGCTTCGGGAGCTCCTTTCCTTCATAATAGAAGTGCATTTCTTTGTTTACAGGTCAAAACAAAATTAGGTGTCTACAGATGCCTCTCTTTACTTGTCCTTTGGAATAGCTAGGTGTTCGCTTTTCCCATCCGAGTCTTCTGTCTGTCTCTTCGTGTAGGTGCTTCGCATCGTTTCTTTTAGACAGGTGGGTTTTGTCTATATCCTTGCACTTTAGAGTAGCTAAGTGCTGTGTTGCGTACTCCATTGGGTAATAAGGGTGACAAATTGTACACCTGACCTTCAGTCTTCGAGTAGATGCTCCATGTCATTTGTTCTAGTTGTTTTTCTTATGATGAGGAGGTGAAGATTTGAATCTTCTTTCTTGCTTTGACAATATATGCCTTCACGTTGTTTCCTTTGGGAAGATGGTGTTTACCTGTATCCTTACCCCTTAGAGCAACTGAGTGTTGGTTTGTATGCTCTGTTAGGTGTCAAGGGTGGTAAATTATGCCATCTAAGCCTCTGACTTGGTGCTGATGCTTCTTGTTTCTTCCACTTGTCTCATGGTAATGTTGTCTATATTCGTAGCTCGCAGATGAGGGAGTATGTTCTAAGTTCAGCCTCTCCAGGCTAGACTGATATTTGAGACTTCATCCGATCCATTTTCATTCTTGTACTGGTTTTGAGGGTCCAACAACCTTTTCCGATCTTGTACTAGTTTTGAGGGTCTAGCAACCATTTTCACTCTTATACTAGTTTTGAGGGTCTAACAACCTTTTTTTTCTCTTGTACTAGTTTTGAGGTTCTAACAACCTTTTCCGCTCTTGTACTAGTTTTGAGAGTCTAGCAAACTTTTCTTCTCTTGTACTAGTTTTGAGGGTCTAACAACCTTTTCTGCTCTTGTACTATTTTTGAGGGTCTAACAGCCTTTTTGGCTCTTGTACTTGTTTTGAGGATCTAGTAACCTTTTCTGATCTTGTACTTGAGGAACTCGATGGTGTCCTCTCATTGGTGTTATGGGATGCTCCTCGGGTTGACAAGTAGGGGAACGCCTGTGATGCCTTCCATTTTTGGGCTAGGGCTAATAGGATGTGTGTGCCCTGCTAGGTGAGTATTGTAGTGCCTCTCCAAGCATCTTCATTGGGGAATGAGATGAGTGGCAAGAATTATGGTGTTGTTCCTACCGTGTGAGTATTGTGATGCCTCTCCAAGCGTCTTCCTTGAGGATGTGTGTGTGGCGAGAATTTTGTGTTTCTCTCGCCAAGTGAGTATTATGATGCCTTTCCAGGTGTGGTTATACTTGGATGTTGTGGCATTTCTCTTGTTGATGATTGACCGTCGTGATGTCAATGTGGATTTGCTTGACCTTGTCCAATCATCTAACTTGATCATTATCGTGAAGGGACCCTGCTCCTTACTTGTAGGCTGATCCCCAGGCTGAGGACTTGTTTTGTTTATTCTTTATGTTCTATTTTTGGTTTTCCTTGTATGGAAGAGAGTTTTTTTTTATTTATTTATGTAAGTGGTGTATGCATGCTTTGGAAAATATCTATATTCTATTGCTTTTTAGATGATTCCCCTTAGATGTGAAAAATATTCCTTCTTAATATGCATCTTACGTATACCATACATGCACAATAAGCCTTTTAGATGTTTACTGTTATCGGATGACCTTCCACTACTCCTTCAACCACATTTTTTTTGGCCATGGAATTTTTTGTATTAATTTTCACTTATTTGGAGCTCATACAAGGTTGTTTTATTTATTTATTTGCCTTTTATTAGGCCAGTTCGATTTTCATTAATAAAAAAACATGTCATTCAAGCATACGGGTCAAGAGAAATGAGAGAAAAATGGTATCTTTATTATAAGTCAGAAAAAGTTTCAAGGAAGAATTACAAAAGGGATTTAGTAAGAAGGGCTGGCTGAGGTTGGCCGGTGTTTGGGCTCAAGCAACCATGACTTTGAGAAACAAAGCTAAACATCCTCCTCGTTGTCTGATCAGCATTACTTCGACCTTTGATCGGATTCTCCAGAGGGTTGATAAGGTATCTAGATTGTCCATCAATTTTTTATTTATATGCTTGTTGCTTGCTTTTCATTTGTCCCTAGTTTTTTCTAGGATTTACCCTAGCGGGATTTATTTTTACAAACAATTGTGTTTAAGTGTACAATTTCTTTACGGCATCAGAGTTTACTGGGTAAGCAAGTTCTTTGCCATCCATGTTGGTAAGGATTAATGCTCCCTCAGAAAAAGCCCGCTTGATTATGTAGGGACCCTCGTAGTTTGGTGTCCACTTCCCTATCTTATCCTTCTGAGCTGGTAGAAGCTTCTTGAGTACCAGTTCTCCCTCTTGAAAATGTCAAGGTTGAACCTTTTTATCAAAGGCTTTCTTCATTCTCCTTTGATAAGTCTGTCCGTGACAGATAGCGTCCAACCTTTTCTCTTCTATGAGATTCAATTGATCGAATCTAGGTTGTACCCACTGGCCCTTAGGGATCTTTGCCTCCACGAGTAGTCTTAAAGAAGGAATTTCCACTTCAACGGGTAGAATTGCCTCCATCCCACCAGTCGATGTACGAACAAATGTTTTGTACCCATGCAAGGCGAATGGTAATATCTCGTGCGAATCTTTATAAGTGACGACCATTTTTTGAACAATCTTTTTAATATTCTTATTGGCTGCTTCAACCGCCCCGTTCACCTTCGGCCTATAAGGGAAGGAATTGTGATGTTGAATTTTGAAGGAGTCACATAATTCGATCATCATCTTGTTGTTGAGGTTGGATCCATTATCTTTTATAATTTTATTAGGAATTCCATATCGGCATATTATGTTCTTCCTGACGAAATTGACTATTGATTTACGGGTTATATGTGCATATGACATGGCTTCGAATCATTTAGTGAAATAGTCTATGGCTACAAGAATGAATCTGTGTCCTTCGAGGCTTTGGGTTCAATGGGTCCAATGACATCCATGCCCAACATTGAGAATGGCCAAGGTGACGCCATTACATTGAGCTCATTGGGTAGGACTTGAATGTTATCAACATATATTTGGCACTTTTGACATTTCCTTGCATATGAGATATAGTCCTTCTCCATGGTCGATAAGAAATATCCTGCCTTCATGATTTTTCTGGCCATGACTTATCCTGTCATGTGGGTGCCGAAGGTCCACTCGCGGATTTCCTTCATTAAGGATTGAGATTCTTCTTGATCGACACATCTCAACGAGACCAAATCAAAGCTTTTCTTGTATAGGATGCCCCTATGGAATGTGAATCTGACAGCTCTATGTCTGATCATTTTCTTATCGTTGTTAGAGGCCACAATTGGGTATTTTCCTCCTTCGATGTATTATTGGATGTCAAAATACCAAGGATGGTTATCATCTTTTCCTTCAAGCGTGCAACAATGAGCCAGTACCTCTTGTTGCTTGATTCTGATGACCGACATTTCACATCCTTCTTTTATGGAAAACATGGAGGATAATGTGGCTAAGGCATCTACCAATTGATTCCTCTCTCTTGGGGTATGTTCAAAGTTGACAAATTCAAATTGGGATATCAAGCTCTATAATATTCTTGGTAAGGGATTACTTTGTGATCTTTCATTTCCTATTCATCCTTTAACTGATGTATCACCAAAGTTAAGTCATCGTAGACTTATAGTTTGGTGATGTTGTTGTCCAGGGTAGCCTGTAAACCCAATATGCAAGCTTCATATTCGGCCATGATATTGGTGCATTGTGACGGAATATGTTTTCCTTGGGACAACATCAGTCTGGCGCCTATCCCATGTCCCATTAGATTTGAGGCCCTGTCAAAGAACATGGACCAGGACTCTTTCTGAGCTTGTTCTTCTTCATCATTTCCCAGGGCCAAAATTTCTTCATCCAGGAAATCATCCTTTATTGCAGGCTCTTCATTGGTTAGTCCATTTGCTAGGTAGTCAGCTAGAGCGCTACCTTTGATTGCCTTTTGTGAAACATAGACAATGTAATATTCTGTTAATAGTACTTGCCATCTGGCAGCCCTCCCAATGAGTAAGAACTTCTCAAGTAGATACTTGATAGGGTCCATTTTTGATATCAACTGGATGGTATGCCTCAGCATATATGCCTTAATCATTGTGCGACCCATACCAAAGCACAACAGGTCTTTTCCAAAGGCGAATATCGAGTCTCATAGTCAGTGAATTTCTTGCTTAGGTAATAGATAACCCATTCTTGATTATTGGTTTCACATTGCTGACCTAACATACATCCCATGGAGTCCTCTAAGACTGTGAGATACAGAATAAGAGGTTTCCCTTCGATAGGAGGCATCAATATTAGTGGATTTCTGAGACGTTGTTGAATCCTATCAAAAGTGATTTGGCATTCCTCATTCCACTCCATTTCTTGATTCTTTCGGAGTAGTTTGAAGATGGGAGTACATGTATCAGTCAGTTGAGATATGAAACGAGCTATGTAATTCACCCTTCTAAGAAATCCTTTGACCTCCTTTTCTGTCTTTGGGGATGACATCTCTATGATGGCTTTGACCTTATCAGGATCCACTTCTATACCTTTTAGTTTGTACTTACGGAGTCAATTGAATAATTTTCTTAGGTGACCAAGATGATCACTTTCACTTTTTGACTTAACAATCATATCATCTACATACACCTCTACTTCCTTATGGATCATGTTGTGAAACAGAGTTACCATAGCCTTTTGGTAAGTTTCTCTATCATTTTTCAAGCCAAATGGCATCACTCGGTAACAAAACATGCCCCAAGGAGTGATAAAAGAGGTCTTCTCACGATCCTCAATAGTCATTTTGATTTGATTATATCCTGAGTATCCGTCCATAAACGAGAAAATAGTGTTTATGGATGTATTGTCCACAAGTACGTTGATGTGCGGCAATGGGAAGTCATCTTTAGGACTGGCTCAATTTAGGTCTCGGTAGTCCACACAAACTCGTACCTTCCCATTTTTCTTCAATACGGGCACTATATGAGGCTCATCCCCTTTCTTTCTCAATTCTTGCAAGTCGGATCTGTCGGGGATAAGGTCAATGTTGTATTTATAACGTCGAAGGGAAACATTAGCGAGTTGCTTCCATATATGAACCTTCCCTCTCTTCAACTGCATATACTACTTAAGGGTCGGTCCGATAGACTGTCCTGAAACAATGTATTATGAGCTTCTCGTTGCTTATGTGAGCAACCATCTTCCTGTAGTACATTGTTAGATGTCTTTTAGGATAATTGGATTTGGTGTACTTCTAGAAATTGAGGCTTTTGAACTTGGTCATGAATTGGATATCCTGCACCAACCACATCTCTACAGCTTCTTGAATGTCAAAACTGTGACCTTCCACAACTCTCAGTCTTTCCTCCAAGGAATTCACATGGTCCTTGGAAGCGTCACCGATGTTACTAGCACTATTATCATCGTCCTGGAGCTTATTCATGGTTACGCACATCCGTGCCATTTGTTCTTTGAGCTACCTGAGCTCTTCATTCATGATGGACCATGGGCCAAGGGCCCAATCACTAGAGCTATGGCCAGGCATATACAGGAAGAGTTGGACAACTTGAAGACCAGTGTGTTTTGGACTACTCTATCATGAAGAGAAAGCCTAGTTCTAAATGTATATAAATTGTACATAGTTTCTTTGTATATGCTTATTTTTGCCTTTGTATTTGTGAGGCACTTTATTTGCTTTTATTTCTCATTGTATATTGTTTCTAAGGTAGTTTACTTAGAAACTTTGACTCCATTTAACCTAACCTTGAAGTACATTCTTTTTCTATTTTTCAATAGTAGGAGTGAGGGTGGCAAGTAGCAATGCTTGAGGGTGTGATTAGTAATTAGGCCGGATTGGGCCTAGGCAAAATTTTACATATTAGACTTATTTTACTCCTAATTTTTCAAGGATTTGATTTAGCTAGGTCTCATCAACATTAGATGAACCTAACTAAACCAAATCAACATTTTTCAAAAAACGGTTTGGAGCCAAAACAAGCTAAATGGCCGCCTAGCTTAGTTCACATTCATGGCCGAGTTTTTTCTTCCATTTTCAAGGCTTGAGAAGCTTGTGCTACAAGCTTCTCCTTAGCTTGCTTCCCAAGCAAGCTAAGTGAGAAGCTTGCTCCAAAAGTTTCTAAAGCCACTTGGACGGTCAAGTGACCTTACCATGGTTCCTAGTGAACCATGGTTAAGGTTAGCTTGCTCCTTAAGCTACCTCTCCCTATATATTTGTAACTCTCACCTACTACCTTTCTTTTGATGAATGAAATCAGAAATTCTTCTTAGAATTCTCTCTTCTCAAAGTCACCAAAACCGTGGAGTTTATTCTCCCTAGGTTTTCTCTCAAAGGTTCTTCAAACCTTTGAACATGGTTCCTTAAGCTTCTTCATCTCCTTGGAGTGGCCGAACCTCCTAAGTGCTTCTCCACTATTGAAGATTCTTCAAGGTGTTTCAAGCTTCAAATTCAAGTCTAGTGTAAAGGTCTTGGACAGATTGAATCTTGAAGAACAACAATCCTCTTCAAGTTTCTTCCATCATTTTTGGTATCAAAGCCTTGGTGCTCTTGAGGTTATGTGTTCCTAAACTTTGTTTGAATCCATGTTGTCTCGTCCATATTTTACATGTCAATTCTTGTGTTTGCTGTATGGATCTAGATTTAATTCATATTTTGATGGATCCTTATATCACATGTGAAGTAATTGATTCATGATTTTTACTTGTTCCTAATTCCTTGAATCAATTCGGTTTGTGCTTTAGGTTTCCTATACTTGTGCATTTTTTTTCTCTTGAGTCTTCTCCATTCCATAACATGAGTTCGTGATTGGACAAACATATTATAGCTTGTGTTTTTTCTTTTGAATCAAATGTTTTGTCTAGAGTCGTGTATAGTCCTTTGAATGTCATTGAATCCTAGACTAGCTTGTTTAACCTTTGTTTTTGTGTTGTTTTGAGTCAAATTCTTGGTGAGGTTTTTGTTTGATATTTTTGTGTCTACCTTTATGTGTTTTTGATTTACATCTTTGAGTTCTTAATTTTCTATTATTTCTAGCAAATTTCATAGGGTTAGGTTTCTTTTATGTCACATTAAAAAAAAGTTTGTCAAAAAAAAATTTCTAAACACTATTTCTATTAGGTTTCTTTGAGTCTTGCTTTGTGGTTGAAACTTATAACACATTTTAAGTCCTCAAAAAAGAGGCAAAACAGAGGTATTAGTGTGTTAAAAGCATTGGAAAAACAAAAGAAAAAAGTGCTTGAAAATTGACCTAAATTTTGTACAAAATTGTAAAGCACTAGAAAAACATTCTCACTAGTATACCTCTTGTTTTGTGGAATTATTTGGCAGCAGTTTTAATTCTTTAATTCCGAGATTATTACATGTTTAAAAGGAATTAAACTCCTATACAAAAAGTGCAAAAGAAGTTATCAAAAGAATCACAAAGAAAGAGTACAAGAAAAAGCCAAAGAGTAGAAAATAGAGTGAAGTGTACTCTCGATTTTAGTTTGTATTACTTGTCTTAATTTTTTGTCCAGCCACACATTAATTGCTTTGAGTATTATTTTGTTTTGTAATCTTAGCTTTTATTTTGTAATCTAATCTAGTGCCATTGATAGGTTTCCCTTTGTGTGCTAGCCTTTCTTTGGTGCCTTAATTTTTGCTTGTCTTTGTTTGGAACTCTTCCTAGTTTTGTCTCATTAATTTCCACCATTTGGTGTAGCTGTTCCTAATTGTTCCTTTTCAGTTTTTGCATTAATATTCCAGAAACTTAAGGTGGGTTGAGTGCTTCCTGAAGGTGTTGAAGGCCAAGTTCAAAGGAAGCCAACTTTGAAGGCTTGTGGTGGTGACCTAGGAAGCTTGCTTCTCCATTGGAGGAAGTACTTTGGGAAGACTAAACACCTAGGTGTGACCAACCTCAAGGTTTCCTATAAGAGAGGAGTGACACACTTTTGAGGGCTGCAAGAAGTGAAGGCTGAACTTGAAATTGAAGGAGTAACAATTTTGAGAAATTTTGTGAAATTGGTGACTAGTTTAGAGACGAAAACTTTTTGTTACAAAATTTCCTTGAAAAATCCGTCTCTAGAATTGTCACTAACTTAGTGGCTAATTTTGTTTTCTTAAAATCAGATGCAACCACTAATTTCATTTACTGTGAATTTACATTTCATTTGAGAGTGAATTTACATTTTATTTGGTGTAAATTTACATTTCATTTGGTGTAAATTTACATTTCATTTCTTGTAAATTTTTCATTTCTTTCATTTTTGTACAAGGCCTTTTTAGGAGTGTATTGGAGTGTCTTTGGTGTATCTTCATCTCTCCTTAGCGTTTTCAAGTAGGTAATTCGTTTAGTACTTATGAGAGTGGACCTTGGAAGTCCTTGGTACTTTCAAGGTCTCACATAGGTTTACTTGCTTTAGACTCCTAGTTTATGTTTTCTTGTCTTTAGGTTTTCATGCAATTTATATTTTCAAGCAATTTATGTTTTCAAGTCTTGATTGCATTGCTTAATTGGACATATTAGGCACTTGTTTGTTATTTTATTTTGAAAATATCTTTGTGAAATTTGTTTTGTGGAAGACAAAAGTACAAGGGGGTTTAGAGATTTTTACTTGACGAGACTTGGTTATTAAGTGGCTCTTTGTAGCTCACCTCCCTCCATAGTTATATTTGTACTTTTAGATCTCTAAGTGCCAAGTCTAGCACTTCAAAAAAATTTATTTTCCTAAAAACTATTTTTGTGTGAAAATCCTTTTTGTCTAAAATTGTCTCAAGATTTCGACCCTAGTGAAAGTGAGAGCTCTCCAAAAAGTCTTTCTTACTTAACTAAAGAGCTCAAATCACTTAAACTATGGAGAAAGAAAGAGGCCATTCAAAAAGAAAAAGAGAAAATTGAAAGAGAAAGTCAACTTGCTTATCTAGAGGAAGAATTGAGAATTCTTAGGCAAGAAGAAGAAAAACTCAAAGAAGAAATGAGAAAACAAAAAAGAAGGAGTATGAGCTCTCACTTTCAATATCCTTCTCCTAATGAGAGTCTAAACATGGGAGACCACTATCAACCTCTCCTAGGAGAACCATTAAGCCTAGGGAAGTCAAAATTGACCTCCCACAAT